CACTTAGTTTCTTTATTTTGAGTGAATATTAGTTCTGCTTTTCATTTAAGATGATTCTACGAACATATTTTAGGAGTTTCTGATGTGGTTTTGCTCTCTCAAACAAATACATTTGATTATTCTTTTTAAAAGTGCAACCCAAGTGGGTTGAAATGCAGAAAATAAGTGCAGAAAAAACACTTCAAACAGTTTTGAGCTGTCAAACTTGGACAGAATTAACCAAAATAAATAAATTTCTATTAGTTTTATTTATGGGAAAAACACAGACTGAGAGCAGCTGATTAAAATCCAAACTATTCCAATGAAATATCCTGATATCTAGATAAAGATTTGACTTATATTCTGTCTGAGGTAAAGTCATGAAACAATGCTTCAGTTTGGATTCAGCCCACAAAAAATTAACCTCCTCATAGAAAATGTGCACAAACCACTCAGAACACATGAGAACAAAACCATTAACGCTTAGAAAGTGACTCAAAATACATAAAAACTTTGACAGAAGACGGTTTGGTTTAAGTGAAACATGAATACAGTTATTTCCTACTTAGAGAAATCGGCTTCCTTTAAACTTACACCTGTATGCAAAATTTTTAATAAGAAAAACTGGATTTTATTTTTGCAAAGGGGATTTAAAAAGTCTCTGAAGAGTCTAATTGAGGGGAGAAGTGGAGCTCTCAGGGCCTGAGAGTGGCGTTTCTATGGGGGCTGAAGCCTGAAACTCAGCAGAGACGAGTCTTTATTTTAGATTTCAGGTGACAAAGTGGCGAGGCTGCCAGAGGAAACTCGGCCTCAGTGCTGCTAATCGCTTTGTCGCCCTCAGAGTTATTTGTTTGGAGCGTTTAGCGCTCCCCAGCCTGTTAACGGCGGGACAGGTGCACCAGGTTTAGGCTCAGACCTGAGAAGTCGTTAGGGGGGAAACCCTTCCTCTTACCCTTGGGGGGGTTAGCTGATCCTGTCCAGTAGCCTGCTTCTCCTCTTCAGCCCATTTTAGGAGACGCTAATGTGTCATTAAGGAAAAACAGGGCTAAAATAACCATAAATACAAAAAAAAAAA